ATGGTAAAATAGTTGGGTAAGTTAAGTCTTAATTATATTATCGTCAAATCTAAATACCACTTGAATTACCTGGAAATTATGAAGTTATTAGCCAACTTATGTTTCCTTTGAATACAAAGTCTTAACAATTATACATATTGTAATTATTATGTTGAGTGTATTATGCATTGTAAACTATCTTGCACATAAGATGAATGTTACTCAAAAGAATCTTCCTACTCTCTATCTGATTATCAAGAGTATTACGCTGTACCATTTGAACTGAATTTCATGTAATCAACATGATTACATATGCTGGTAGTTATTAATTAACTTTTATAAGTATGAATGAGAAATAAATGAATAAAACTTAGCAAAATCGGTTTGCTTTTTTGTCTTGAGTTCAACCATCTATGTTGATACTTCTTTCGCTATTTTGGTCTATCACTGGTTCAAACAGATGTAATGATATATAATTTACCTTAATAGTGATCTGATAAAGTTCAATGATGTTTACAAGTATTTTAAATAAGTAAATGGTCGAGTAAGTGATTATAGTTGATTGAAATGTTACAAATTATAACCACAATCTAACGCTTTCAGATTTATCAGATATCCAACCAATCCCCTTTTTTATCAATTGATTTGATCTAAAAACAAGCTGACTCAGGTTTAATCGCACTTGAATTGTTTACTGATATACAAAAAGTAGTCAACTCGATCCAATTTTAGTGTAAAAATTTGATGCCACTTATTGAATAATCTTACAAGTTGTTAATCTCAAGCCATAAGGTACAAGTTGATCTAAGGTCGATTGAACCTAATTGCACTATTTTAACAAGCTTCGATACTAATGAAACATTGGACAATAAAACTGATTCAAGACAGCAAAACTCCTTTACATGTTCTGTGATTTATTAATAAGCCAAGATTGATTATTGTTTATTAGGTTTTTTTAATCTTTAAGTTCAATGCACCATCGATTTTCATAATAAGGTTTGTCGCCCAATTTGCATTACATTCATGTTACAATGGATTGAATAATCACAAATCATAAAACTAAGAATTATAATTGTAACTTTTTTTGCTCAAATATTTATTATTATTGTTCAAGGGTAATGA